GGGGCTGTTGGGGAGAATGCGGGGTGCCATCTGTGCCCCCACAGTTTGGCACAGAGTCTGGCACAAAGCAGCAGCTCAGGAATGATGGATGAAAAGAAATGAATTTGCACATGAGGGGATTGGACCCACTGCTCTTGCAAGACCCCTCCAGCTCTGACCTTCCGCGAATCCATGACTCACGGTTGGATTCTTAGACCTCTGCCAATGCTGGGGAGCAGAAACCACAGCGACTGGGCCAGAGCAAGTCAGGATGAAGGGTAAGTGACAGAAAATAGCAATGACATCTGCTCAGGAGATGTCAGAGTGATTAAATGGGAGTTAGTCTAGCATGGAGTTTCTTGGAAGGCTCACATAAGCCCATTAAATCCCACTGAGTGCCCAAGAGTTCCCTAGGCAGAGCAGCTGGAGAAGTTGTCGAGCTCATCACCGACTCTGAAATCCCCCAGATGCTCCTACATTAATAGGTTTTCGGGCAAGGAAGAAAAAATAAAATACCAATGGGCTGTCATTCTGGAATTAGAGTGCATTAACAACACTCTCACTGGGAAGAGGTCTGGGGCTTTTTGCCAGTTTCAATTGTGTCCAAGGATACCCCATGTACATAGGACTTCTGTAGTGAAATGTGAGTAGGAGCTCAGGGGAGAGACAAGACACAGCGAGTGACGGCCCTGGTTCTATCCCCTTCTGTTCGCTTTAATGAAATGTAACCAAGCTGCCACCATAGACGGGACCCTGCCATGGGGGCAGAGGGAGTTCGGCTGGATCTTGAAGAGCCAGTGCTGCCTCTTGTCACTGGATCTTACTAGGATCTGAGCTAATCTGGGGCAGCTGATATTCTACGACTGGCATTTGATGTTGGATTTAATTTCCTTATAATTCTGTTGATTTCACTCATTGTTTGAAAAAATAATTCCCAATATATTCAAAAGATTTTAAGTTGATCTCCCCGCTTCATTAATGAACTCAGTCATCCAATACGTTTTTACTGAACATCTGCCATGTGCTCCTGGGCCAGCTCAACATCACCTTCACTTTGTCCTTTTCTTCTTCCAGACTCTTGGCCTTGGCAGGTTGTCTTCACTGTACCAGCAGTGAGCTCCCTGGGCTATCCTAGGCCAGAGGTCCTGAAGCAATCTTTTGCTAGCCTCTGTCTTGTCTGGACCAAAACCCAAGAATCAAGCGGGACTGTGCCTCTCAGAATGTAGGAACGGGGATATTTAGCTGCTGCTTGGGACCGAGGGGGAGCTTCCTGACATGACAGAACATGCAGGATGGAGACACACTGGGAGCAGGAGGACCTTCAGGCCCTTTGTCATTGCTCTAAGGACTGTCAGCTCAGACTCCACATCTTCTTCCTCACAGAGGACATAGATAAGTAATGATTGTTACTACTCTTTAGAAAAGAATGATGAAAATATATGAAGAAGATGTTACTACTCTTTAGAAAAGAATGATGAAAATATATGAAGAGATGGTAAAAAATCCCCAGTGATTCCTTTTAACATTTTGGTCTTTATTATTTCAGTTTTTAAAAATTCATATATAGACATATACATCTATCTTTACAAATATAGGATTATTCTGCATTCCATTATGACTCACTTTCAAAACATAACTTATTATGACTATTTCTCCATGTCTTGTTATTTCATAGTATTGCCTAGTATGGATCTAACAGTATACTTAAGTTATCTCTCTATTGACTCTTATTTTTTTCTTTTTTGATACAGGATCTTGCTCTGTCGCCCAGGCTGGAGTGCAGTGGTGCGATCTTGGCTCACTGCAAAGTCTGCCTCCCGTGTTCAAGTGATTCTCGTGCCTCAGCTCCCCAAGTAACTGGGACTACAGTCACGTGCCACCACACCTGGCTAATTTTTGTATCATTAGTAGAGACAGGGTTTCACCATGTTGGCCAGGAGGTCTTGAGCTCCTGACCTCAAGTGATCCGCCCACCTTGGCCTCTCAAAGTGCTGGGATTAAAAGCGTGAGCCACCGAGCCCACTTCTATTGACACTTTAAGTTATTTATAATGCTTTTTTCTACTAGGCAAAAGATGAATTTTTAAAAGAGATCATGCGCATTTCCTGCTTATTTCCTGACTTATTTTATATCCCTTTTTCCTGTTTTATTCTTCTGTGTTTCTACAGCCTACATGTCAGCCAAGCCAGAATTCTGAAGTCCACCCTGACCCCTGTAAACCAAAACGTGTCTGAGACAGGTCTCAATCAACTCAGAGGTTTATTTTGCCTAGGTTAAGGACCATGGCCCATGACGCAGCCTCAGGAAGTCCTGAGAACACATGCCTAAGGTGGTTGGGTTACAGCTTGGTTTTATATTACACATTTTAGGGAGACAGAAGTTTTTCACAAAGACATAAATTGATACTTGTAAGGTATACATTGATTTGGCCCAGAAAGGTGGGATATCTCTAAGCTGGGGAGCTTGCAGGTCATAGGTGGATTTAAAGATTTCCTGATTGGCAGTTGGTTGAAAGAGCTGATCTTTTCCTAAAGAATTGAGTCAGCAGAAAGAGAGGCATGCATTGAGGTAAGGGGACTGGAAGCCAAGGTTCTTACTACGTTCTTGTTATATAGACAAAGCCTCTAAGTAAGCAGTAGATGGTAAATGTCTCTTATGGAACCTTAAAGGCTGTTAGACTCCCTAGAAAAGACCCAAGTAAGGGAAGGAGATTATCTACACAATGCACATTTCCCCAGCAAGAGACCAGCTTCACAGGGTCATTTCAGGATATGTCAAAGAAATATATTTTGGGCTAAAATACTTAGATTTCTTTCAGGGCCTGCTATCTGTCATGCGATGCTATACCAGAGCTAGGTTGGAATTTGGTATCTTATTGCTACAAATAGTCTGTTTTGTCAGTCTTATGATCTCTGTTTTAATATAGACATTGGTCAGCTGTGCCTAAACTCCAAAGGAAGTGGTTATAAGGAGACATTTCAGACTTCCCTCTTCCTGTCATGGCCTGTACTAGTTTTTCAGGTTTTGGGGGGATCCCCTTGGCCAAGATGGGGGTCCATTCAGTCAGTTGGGGGGCTTAGAATTTTACTTTTGGTCTGCACCCCTCCCTATCTCTAACTTCCATATCCAATCAGTCACAGAGTCTTGTGGTCTCTCTTCCTCTCCAGGTCCTCAGCCCAGCTCAGACCTCAGCCATTGTCTCTGGACCATCACAAAAGCCTGGCCTCCTAGAGATTACCCTCCAAATTCCTCTTCCTCTCCATTCTGAGTCAGCTTGAACCAGGATGTTACTCAGTTTACTCAGCTACTGTCCTCCAGGGCAGAGAAAGAAGCCAAAAGCTCCCAGGCTTGGCAGGGGAGGAGAACAGTGCTTAATGGGGATGACTGGAACCTGTGTTTTCAGGGGGCAGATCTCAGGGGAATCAGGGAGAAATTGATTATAGGCATCAGAAGGAGAAAAGACCTCTGTATCACTGGGTGCTAGTTGGAAGTCCTCAGAGGTCAGGATGCTGACTGGGCTGCCTCTACTGCTGGGAGTGCAGGCGCTGGCCATTTCATCTTGGCCCTTCCACATAGCCCACATCCAGCCTACACATGCTTTAACAGGTTTTTACTCAGGCTGGAGGCCTGGGGCCCAGGCCTTCCCTGGAAAAACTCAGAATGGGATGCTAAGACTTAATTATGGGAAGACGAATGCCCTCAGGCCCCTGGCAGGAAAGGTTGTGGGTGTTTGAGGTTGCCTGCCAGAGCATGCAAGCTCACTTGTGAGTTTGGTAATAAATAGCATGACCCTGGTTCAAGATTTTTCTTTTCTTTTTTTTGAGACAGGGCCTCATTCTGTCACCCAGGCTGGAGTGCAGTGGTGCCATCATGGTTCACTGCAGCCTTAACCTCCCAGGCTCAAGCAATCCTTAGACCTTAGCCTCCTGAGTAGCTGGGACTACAGGCATGTGCCACCACACCTGGTGAATTTTTTTTCTTTTTGGTAGAGACAGAGTCTCCTTACGTTGCCCAGGCTAGTCTCGAACTCCTGGGCTCAAGCAATCCTCCTACTGTAGCTTCCCGAAGTGCTGGGATTACAGGTGTGTGCCACTGTTCCCAGCTTGAGATTTTTCTTTAGTCCTGAGATGTGGCACTGCTTCTTGGGTGCAGACGCATAGCAATCTTATGTTTTCTTTCTAATCAGGGTTAACTCAGAGCTTAGACCTAAGAAAACCCAAAAGGCCTTGTATTCCAGCCTCTCCATTCTCCACATAATGCTGACTTCCCAGAGCATTCCAAACAAAACGGCCCCTTCACATGCTCTTCCTTTCCTAGAAGTCTTTCTCCATCTTGGCACATGTCTTTAGAAAGCTCTTCCTGGAATCTGTCATGCACTGTGAGGGGGAGGTGTTGTTTCATATCTATGCCTTTGCTTTGTAAGTCAGCTATGCCCTTCCCCATCTTGTGCATCAGGGTAAACTCTTATTCTTTCTTCAAATCCCAGCCCCAGGTCACTTCCTCCATGAAGCCTTCCTTGTGTTCTGCAGAACGAGTTGATTCCATTTCTCCCTTCCCCATCCCACATCACTACCACCACAGATACTCCTGAGGGTAGTACCCTGGCTGACTCATCTCACCATCTCTAGTGCCTGGTTCAGGGCTTGGCCAAGAGAGGAGGCATGAATGAAAGAATGAGAAGGGAAGGAAGGAAGACCTCAGAGCACTTTATACAGCAATAGCCCCTGTACCACCCTCTGCGATCTGACCCAGGCCCCTGATTTTTCTAAGCACTTTTCTATTCCTGATCTTACTGGATCCTCATGGTGGCCCCAGTGTGGTTTAGGGTAGGGACCCACACCTTGATTGGCAAATGAGGAAGCTGAGGTTCCAAGAGGAGAAGTGACTCGCACAAAGTCACCTCAGAACTCCTGTGGGAAACCCAGAACTGCCTCCTTCCTTCCTCTCTTTGTTTTCCTCAGCTCCTCCCTCTGACTCATTTCCCATAGGGCTATGAGAGCAGAGCTGAAATTCCTGGTGGGATATGAAGGATTTGGGAACCCTGGAAGTCGTTCCTGGGCAGTGAGGTGTGTGGATGCGTACATGCAGGCTTCTCTGTGTGTGTGTGCGTGCCGGGGAGGCTTGGCACTGAGATGCCTCCTATGTCTCCCTCCCACCTCCTTCTCCTGGAAGGGGGGATGGGTGTCATGTGTCCCTGCAGTGTCCAGGCAGGACTAGTCATATCAGCAGATATGGGGGGAGGGGCGGAGGCTGCAATGAGCAGAGATCATGGCACTGTACTCCAGCCTGAGTGACAGAGCAAGACCCTGAATAAAAAAAAAAATTAAAGAATATTATATATTCTTGAAATTATATAGTATGTATGGTTGGAATGTTACATACCATTCTTATAGTGTGTAAAGATAGTATAGTGTATTTCTTTGATTACATACCTACTGTTTTTTGTTACATGCTATATGATTCCAAGAATATTATATATTCTACATAATCTTAGTATTATTTCAATATTATTATATTATCAATATTACATACTATTAATCTATAACTATATAGCATTATATAATATTAATGTTAATACATTATATATTGTTAGAATAATATAGTATATAACATTTTGGGATTGGATATATTTCATAATTCCTTTGAAACCTTTTCAAGTGTCAATAATGTGTTCCTTTACATTGCTATGCAGGATTTTATGGTATGGATATACTATGGCTTGTATACCTTTCACTTGTTGGAGAGCATCAGAGTTGTTTCCCCTTTCTGACCATTACAGATAATTATGATGAAGGTTTGTGTCCAGGTTTCGTGTGAATATGTCTTCATTTCTCTGGGATGAACACCTAAGAGTGTGATTGCTGGGTCGTATGATGAGTGTATTGCTTAGTTTTATAACAAATTATCAGACTGTTTTCCAGAATGGCTGTGCCCTTTTGCATTCCCAGCAGTTATGCACAAGTGATCCACTTTCTCCACATTCTTGCCAGCATTTGGTGTTGTCACTATTTTTTATTTTAGCCACTATGGTAGGTATGTAGTGTTATATCATTGTGGTTTTAATTTGCATTTCACTGATGGCCAATTAAGTGGAACATCTTTTAATGTGATTATTTGCCTTTTGTATATTTTATTTGGTGAAATGTCTGTTCATGTTTTTTTGCCCATTTTTTTTTGCCCATTTTTTGCCTGATTGAGATTTTGTTCTTTTTACTGCTGAGTTTTGAGAATTCTTTGTACATACCACATATAAGTTCTTTGTTGGACGTGTGGTTTGCAACTATTTTAGCCCAGCCTGTACTTTAATTTTTCATCTTCTTCACAGATTCTTTTACAAAACAAACTTTTAAATTTTGATGAGGTCCAATTTATCAATTTTTTCATTTGTGGAGTCTGCTTTAGATCTGAAGTCTAAAAATCCCTTTGCCTAGCCCTTGATCTTAAAGATTTACTCCTATGTTTTTTCCTAAAAATTGTACCATTTTGTTTTACATTTAGATCTGTGATCCATTTTGAGTTAATTTTTATATAAGATGTGAGATAGGAATCAAAGGTTTTAAAAAATTTTTTCCCTATGTGCAGCTTGGTCTTTTTTTCTCTTCCTTCTTCTTTTTTTGAGATGAGGTCTCACTGTATTGCCCAGGTTGGTCTCTGACTCCTAGGCTCAAGCAATCCTCCTGCCTCCACCCTCCAAAGTACTGGGATTACAGGTGTGAGCCACCGCACCTTGCCATGCAGCTGAATTTTTAATGGTTGCCAACATTCTGTCCTGAGACATATCATAAGTTACTTAAACAGCCATGCTATTGATGAATCTTTAGAATGTCTTCAATATTTTTGCTTTTATAAGTAGCAAAATAAGTATTATTGTAGCTAAATGTTTTACTTATCTATGATTGTTTCCTAAGAAGAGTATTACAGAAGTGAAATTACTGAGGCAGTTTTTAGGGCATAGGGAACGTATTGCCAAATTGCTCCTCAGCAAGGTTTGTGCCAATGCTGTGTCTCAAGCTGGGTATGAAACAGCCTGTGCTCCTCCAAGCTAGGGACCACCTCCTAGACATAAAACAAAACAAAATCCTTAGTATTTAAATCTGTATTTCTTTGATTACTAAGGGCCAGTATGGGGGCAGCCACAGGGGTATTTTGGGTCCCTGATGCTCCTCTGTTCTTCTGAGGCAGGAATATAGGATCTGGAGGCAGGGAACCTAAGGCCGATTCACGCTGGACTTCCTAGAACTAAATCAAATGGAAACACTTCGGCTATGACAGTTTACATAGGGCATACACCAAGTAACCAATGAAAACCTCTAGAGTATATTTAAACCCCAGAATATTCTGTAACGGGCTCTTGAGGCCCTATGCTCGACACCCCTATGGGGTGTACTTCCATTTTCAATAAATCTCTGCTTTTGTTGCTTCATTCTCTCCTTGCTTTGTTTGTGTGTTTTGTCCAGTTCTTTGTTCAAGACGCCAAGAACCTGGACACCTTCAACTGGTAACATATTTTGGTGAACCAGCCAGAGGTAAGCCCGAAGTTTGGAATTTATTTTTGTCCTTTCCACTTTCCTTTCTACTCTGCACAAGTGAGTCTCTCTCTCTCTCTCTCTCTCTCTCTCTCTCTCTTTTTGTTTCCAACTTGGGACGCTTGGTGGGCAGCGCCTAAACACAGAGGCAGCCACAGGCTTCTGGCTGGGGCCACTCTGAAGGACAATTTTTTATCTTTTCCAGTTGTGGTCCCTGATCCCTACATTTGGTGCAGCTCGGGCAAACTCTCATGAGTTTCAGGCGACTTACACCTTCTTTTCTTATGCGAAATTCTTCTCTTTCCCAGTCCACTGGCTAAGGGCAGAGAAACCCGCCTAGCCTCCAGCTCCTATCATTAAAGCTCATGGAACAGGAAACATGGGAAAGCATGGCCTTATCAAGTTATAAGGATGCTAGAAGTCAAGGCCTTCATCCTGGGACAAAAGGAAAGCTCACAGTGGACCATTGCCTCTGGTGGGAAAACTTGCAAGTGGCACCAGTGCCCACCTAAGGTCAGAGACGTCTGACACTCTAAGATTGGACCCCAAAGGGGGACGCTCCGGGAGATCCTCCAGTCCTCAACCTCTCCAAAGCGGATGCCCTTGGCAGAAGGGCTGAGGCCCAGTACTAGGCCCTCTTACGAATTTTCTCTCACAGTTACAATACTGTTTGGCCCCAATCTTATTTGGAATCTGAAGTTTGCTGTTGAATGGGAAAGTGGGATGGCGTTGCATGTGGCCAGGCTTTTGTGCTGCTGTTCTAAGCAGGGGGCCTGGTTAACATGTGATGCTCTCCTTTGGTGCTGTTTGGGCCCAGTATTCTTTGGAGTCTGGAGAGGTTTGGCTTTAAAAATCAAACTGCCAGGGAAACTTCTGTACCTGAAATTTTGGTTCAGAGCCTTCGTTGGATTACCTATTGGGGCAAAGTGAAACCAGTGAGCTTGTATTGCTATCTCATGGCTAGGATTCCAAGCCATTAGATCTTCATTCATGTGTGTGTACATGTCTAGATATCTTTATTTGTATGTAATTTATTGTTATATGTTGTGTCTATCAGATTGGCTGATAAGTAAAAGAGCGCTAATAAATTAAGCAAATAAGTCCAAGCAATCTTCAAGTTCACGTGACTTAAGTATAACTTTACAAAACAAGCTGACTTTAAAATAATGGGTAAAATAAAAATAGAAATACCTTCAGAATTGTCAGCGTACATTTTTGTCTGGATTGTATATTTGTCTCTGCTAGATATTTTGAGATGTCAGGGTTTAGCATAGAAGGTTATAAAACTATAAACCCAGCTAAAACAAAATGATCTTGGTTTGTGTGCCTTTTTTTGACAAATGAGAGTAAGTTAGTATTAGCTAAATCTTTTGATTTTGAGTTGTTGGCAAAAATACCCATGTATTTAACTTTGAGGCTCTTACTTAGGTTTAGGTGAGCATTTGATGTTCTCTGGTGATTAAAAACATGGTTAACAAGGAAATAACTAACTTCAAATGATAGTGTCCAATATCTCAGTTTACAGAAGTAATCTAGATAAACTGTTTAAAAATGAGGGAATTGAGTCCATGTACATGGGATAAATGTTTTAGGTAAACTTTTTGCATAAATTAAAATCTTAAGATTATTTTTGATGCTCATTGAATATATGAGTCATTTCCAATTGAGAAAGGGTTATGATACAGGAAAACATGTTTCTAAAATTATGGAATTGTTCTTGTCTATAATTGCCTATAGCTGATGGTTCAGGATTTCTTGCTTTTTAGGGTCTCACTAAAGTTTTAGGTTACTAAACATAAGAATTCTAGTTAACACATAATTCTGTATACAAAATGTGCCCAAAAGGGTTATGTTATTAGTCAGAAAAGAATCATTTTGTCTAATTCAGAAGTTATCTAAAAGTTGGTTCAAATTACAGATTTGAAAAAGTTATTTATGAAACAATGTAGTAAAGAACTAGTAAGTAGGGGGTAAGGATGTGGAAATGTTTAGGTAATAGAATATTATTTAAAACCTGATAGAGAATTGGAGACATTTGGCTAATTAACATTTCATAGTTAAAGCTCTTAGTCTTGATTAAAATAAAACAAATATTGTAAAAAAATGTATTGGCAGTTTGGCAGTTCTTTTTTACATATGGTTAGGCATGAAGCTCGATTTAGTGTGCAGCCAAATTACACATACATGCTTGCATTGCTTCACACTATGTTTACTGTTTTGCATGCATAGTGCTGGCACTGGAGTACCTATTGGTCATGTGCCTAAAGTGAATTTCTTGATTGCACAGGATGTATGATGATATTGGTGAACTTAAGGATATTGAATTGTGTATCAATAATAAAATATTCATCATGTGGGTTTTTGGGGGCCCTGGGTAACACCATAACCTCCACGGTAGATTGAATAAGAAAAATTCAGGGTTGGTTTCCTGTTTATTTGTTTTTGCTTCTAATTTTCACTTGTTTGCTGTTTATTCTCCTCTGGGCTTTGCTTGTGTATGCATGTATATATAAAACCATGAATATTTTTAGTTTCTAGTGAAAAGGTTTGATTTGATTCTGTGGATAGTTATTTTGTTTTCTATGTGTTTCTAGCAAGTCATCATCGGTTCCATTTAGCTGAAATTCGTAGGCTACCTTTGTCAGGCTTTCAGGAATTAATGGAACATACCAGCTTTTTAATCTTAAACTGACTTTTTGGAGTTAAGCTTCCTGATATGTTAAGTGTGTTGAGCATACTTTCGTAAATAGAATTTGAGTCATATTTCTCTCTCTGCCTAATTTTTCCAAAATTTGTAAACTATTTGTGCATATTCTTAATTCACAGCAATGTGTTTGTTTGCATACACTTAAGCAGGGCCACTAGGGCCACTCAGGGAGAAAGAACTCAGAAGCCTGACATACCGGCAAAAGGGTAAGAATTTCTTACCAGTCAGACTCTGGCTTCTGTCTCTCTGTGCAAACTGGTTAAATAAACGGTAAAAGTCACTGTTTATCTCCTCTGCAAAGTTTTGATTAACACGAAAAAAGAATCCTGAGGCTGGCCTTAAACTGTAGTGAATCCAGTGTGCTTTATGTGTCTTTCTATATTGTTCTGTTATAAAGAGGGGTACCTTAGGATAAAATGTGTGCCTAGGAACCTATAGGCTCACTATTCAAGGCTGCCCAGCAAACTGGTCAGTCATGTCCTTGGGAGCTTGACCTTGCAACCATGTGGCCGTGCTTTCTCTATTCACAGTGGAGGCCCAGGTTTAGGGTTCAATTCCTGGCTTAGGGAATGAGTCCTTTATCTTCTGGCTGTCTGTGTATTTATATGTGTTGTGTGTGTAATATAAAAGAGCTTTAATTAATTGGTTTAATAATAAGAGTGTTGTGGGAAGTCAGGGACCCTGAACAGAGGGACCGGCTGGAGCCGTGGCAGAGGAACATAAATTGTGAAGATTTCATGGACATTTATCACTTCCCTAATAACACTCTTTTTCTTATGCCTGTCTTACTTTAATCTCTTAATCCTGTTGTCTTTGTAAGCTGAGGATGTACATCACCTCAGGTCCACTGTGATGATTGCATTAACTGTATAAATTGATTGTAAAACATGTGTGTTTGAACAATATGAAATTAGTGCACCTTGAAAAAGAACAGAATAGCAGTGATTTTAGGAAACAAGGGAAGACAACCATAAGGTCTGACTGCCTGCAGGGTCGGGCAAAAAGAGCTATATTTTTCTTCTTGCAGAGAGCCTATTAACAGACATGCAAGTAGGAGAGATATCGCTAAATTCTTTTCCTAGCAAGGAATATTGATATTAATACTCTAGGAAGAGAATTGCATTCCTCAGGGGAGGTCTATAAACGGCCACGCTGGGAGTGTCTGTCTTATGTGGCTAAGGACTGAAATACGCCCTGCTCTCCTGCAGTACCCTCAGGCTTATTAGGGTGGGGGAAAAATCCCACCCTGGTAAATTTGAGGTTAGACTTGTTCTCTGCTCTCAAACCCTGTTTTCTGTTGTTTAAGGTGTTTATCAAGACAATACGTGCACAGCTGAACATAGACCCTTATCAGGAGTTCCTGATTTTGTCCTTGCCCTTTTCGTCAGAAGCATGTGATCTTTGTTCTCCTTTCTGCCCTTTGAAGCATGTGATCTTTGTGACCTACTCCCTTTTCTTACACCCCCTCCCCTTTTGAAATCCCTAATAAAAACTTGTTGGTTTTGCGGTTCAGGTGGGCATCATGGTCCTGCGGATATGTGATGTCATCCCAGGCGGCCCAGCTGTAAAATTCCTTTATTTGTACTCTTTCTTTTTATTTCTCAGACTGGCCAACACTTAGGGAAAATAGAAAGAACCTATGTTGAAATATTGGGGGTGGGCTCCCCCAATATAGGAGCTTAAATATTTTGTCAGAAAAGCAGAACATGTAATGCATTTTGTTTTATTTTATTTTATTTTATTTTATTTTATTTTTGAGATGGAGTCTCACTCTGTTGCCCAGGCTAGAGTGCAGTGGCATGATCTTGGCTCACTGCAACCTCTCTCTGCCTCCCAGGTTTAAGCGATTCTCCTGTCTCAGCCTCTTGAGTAGCTGGGACTACAAGCATGAGCCACCGTGCCCAGCTAATTATGTATTTTTAGTAGAGAGGATGTTTCACCATATTTGTCAGGCTGGTCTTGAACTCCTGACCTCAGGTGATCCACCCGCCTCAGCCTCCCAAAGTGCTGGGATTATAGGCATGAGCCACTGCACCTGGCCATTCAATGCCTTTTATTTAGTTCATGTGACTTAAGCAATCTTTGGGAACAAAGACAGTTAGAAAGATTATTGGCAAAATAAAAATATCTTCAAAAAATGTAAACATTTGGCTTAAATTATGCAGGTCAGATACTAGGTTTGCTAAATACTTTAGGTCATAAACTACTTCTCTGACTTTTAAAAATTGTTCAATTTATTTTGCACCATTATATTCTAGATAAGGCCTGGGAATGTGTGAAATTAGCCATGCCCCCTAGCTATGCAAAGAAGGTTATAAAGAAAAGATATTTTACATACGAAAGGATCTTATATGGTAATTTTTTGTCCTAAAGTAAAATAATTGGTTGTTTAAAAGAGGGATGTTTAGGACAAGTCAGAAAGTCCAAGCATGTCATACATTGTTTGTGTATGACATGAAAGAATTTATGGAAGAGAATTTATGCAAGAAATGTTGTACAATTTAAAGGTGATTAGGCTACCTAAATGCTTCATAAAATGACACCATGACTCTTAATTGTACAACCTGCCTGCTTTACAGCTAGGTAAGACCTGGGACACGCGGAGTTAGACACTGGAAGAAGTCAGACCTTATCTGCACTTCTGTGTGGGTCTTAGGCTTCACTCCTTGTACATAATTAAAATCCTAAACTTACCAAGGTTTTCACCAAAAGTAAAGTTGCAAAGAGTTAACACTGTAACATGTAATCTAGACTACTGAAGAAACTGTTTTACATATAAGGTGTGTAAGAAAAGTAAAATGTGTTTTTGGTAAAAGATTATAAGAAGGCATGGGAATGTGAATTTGTTTTTGTTTTTTGTTTTTTTTGCCAAGTGTTAAAGAATTATTTTAAGTTAAGATAAAGCTAAAGGTTTGAACAAGTTGTGGAAGGTTTTTAAAAAATAAATATTATAAAAAATTCTGTGTGTGAAATATTAACATATGTTCCAAAATTGTATGGGATTTCTAAAATTCTAATATATCTGAGTATATGCTATCAATCATAATTATGGTTATTATGTTAACTGATTGTAAACCACAGAAATAACCAAATTTCCTTGTATAAAGCTACTAACCCAAGTAGAACAAAAAATTAATTAAATACCAAGAAAATATTTTGTCAGATTTTCATGTTTAACCAGCTAATACTGAAATTGTTTAGATATATAATTTGAATGAACTCCATGGTCTAAGTCAAATTACTTATGATAATCCATCAATTACCAGTGCTATTCACGTAATTTGAAGAAACAACTGCCGTTCAAGAGGATATAAATTTAACTAATCTAAAGTTAACTAAGCATGGACTCATGGAGAACCAGGATGACCACGTTGTCCTTCCTGAGTCCTTCAAG